TAATCCGACCCTCTACAAATCCCACCTTGAATATTTGAGAAGCACACCGTCTTTAGAGCATGTTGCCTGCCCGATGTTGTTTACTTGTGTATTTAGTCCTTAAAAAGGATACAAATTGGTGTTTTTCTCTTCTTCAAATCTCCTCTAACTGATTCACTTCTGGCCTGGTGCCTCAATGTTGATCTAGCGTGAAATTCGATGCAGAGTCTAAACGCGATACTTTGAATATATATTTGGATTTTCTGCCAAGTGGGTTGCGACTTCCGTCAAAAATAGATCAGCTGTGTATTCTACGCAGAGCATTGCAGAGCAGAGATATCCTTCTAGAATGTGCCACAGAGCTTCTGGTGGAATCTTGAGTATTGTTTAGAACAGGTGAGGAGAGCTTGGGCACAGCCCTGACGCCTTGGAATTCAGGAGTTAGGTGGTGACTTCTAGTGGCTGTAGTAATTATGACAGGAGCAAAGATGAAAGGAGTAGTATAAGTATAAGGAGCGACAAAGTCCACATTGGGAAGGCGTTTGGGTGGATGGATGGGTCACACAAACAGAAATTTTACCAATGAGGCTGCTGTTTCGTTTGTGTAACATTGACGTATTTTAACTTAGTGAACTTACACCTCACCTATGGGACGTAAATTAAGTAACTAATTTTAACCAAAACCAGGATCTGCTCCCAAACCTAACCAAGTAGTTTTGGTGCCTAAACCTAACCACACAACATCAACCATATAAAAACAAAGGTCCAGTGTGATTGATGGTCTGGTACTCCTGTCGCTGGTACTCTCCAACAGCCACAGTAAGTCTTTTTGGTCATATTTGGATATGACCAGGCTTGGCAATCAACCTATTCAGTCATTTAGATATGTGTACGCGTTGATCACTCAACTGCAACAATAACTGGACTGGAAACAGCAACAATGACCAAGGCACTGCAACATTACAAAGACAGCAAACAAATACCCCAGTGCACAGAGCACAAAAATGAAAATGGGTGCAACAGAGGTTCAGGTATTATGTTAATTTGTTTAAAAGTGTGGCTTTGCTGTGACATGGAAGCAATACAAATCTCAGCTCACAGACTAAAAAGATGATGTGTTACCCTTTGCTCATCACATGGAAAGTGAAGGCAGTTTTATGCTGCCTAGCAATTTAACTTCACATGGTTACTATGTTATGTAATTTATTTGCTTCACACCTCAAAGACAATACCTAAGAACTGCCAGCAGAGAATAAGTCTCAAATGTTTGCCACAGAGGAACAAAACAAGACAATTAGGACTGCAACTGACCATTATTTTCATTAAGGACAGATCTGTAGAGCTAGAAGGTCAAATAGGCCAATAGTTTTTTCGCAGATATATAGCATTGGTATCACTGTATGTCAGCTCAAAGCTAACAAGAAATTGCAGTAGGTACTTGCCAAATATATGTTAGAGGTGATTTTAAAATAGTCTCCATTAGATGTTTGTCAACCAGAGAGCACAGACAAGTATATTCTTAAACTGTAAAATACTCCTGTCAGTACATATATTGGTCACAATACTTTAAGAACCAAATCTAAGAGAAATCTTGATTAGCTATATCCTATTTGAATTCACCAGAGATCAAAGTCAGCAGGCCCAAAGCCCAAATTCAGTTCACAATGTTGAAAAGAGAAATATGCAGCAAATTCTTCTAACTAATAAGCAAGAGAAATTTAATGTTTGTAATTTTCTCTTGATAAATAACTTATTACGAAACTATTGTTGTTGTTTATCTTGAATGTGATCCGTGGTCTGTCCTTTTTGATTCCAGCTTTTGCTCAGAAATGTAAATCACCTCAGGTCAGATCTGACAATTTCTCATCCTGAAAGGGTCGGCATGGTGGGCCTTTCTTTATACACTAATGTGGCCAGTGCTATTAATACCTTTCTGGGAAAAACCCTATTATGAAAGTAAAACATGACACAACACATGTGTTCTAGTCTCTGCTCTCTCTACACCCAGGCTTTTAATCCTGTTCACGCTGCCATGTAGTGCAAGGATGTCCAACTATGTGCCATGGAGAGCCAAATGTCTGCATTTTTTAATTCCAACCAAATACTCCACCCACTGATCAGCACTCCTTCGGGTAGAAAGGACTATGCACACAAATAGTTCCCTATGGCACATGGCTGGACACCACTAATCCAGTGATTGCTGCATGGTCACTCCACAACCTGTGCAGTGCAGAACTTATAAGGTATTTGTGCAAATTTGTTCTAAACATCGGATGTACAATAAGGACCACAAACTCTTCCTGTGGAAGTACTTCAATGATTCAGTAGAATGTAGAAACCCAACATTGCCCTATCATCAAGCAAGGGACAAATATTCCCAGTCCATTGTTGAGACGGGAGGTGGACAGGATGTAAAGGAGGCTAGAACAACACAGATGCATTTACAGCTGAGTATTTATAGCATCTAGAAAATTTCTACTCTGCAGCCTCACTGTTGTCCGTTGGTCTTAAGGTTCAGTGAGCCACTGGTTCGTTATTAAAGGATTCAGATCCTGGCCCGCAGCTACTGATGCACTTACTCTAAATCACTCTGGATAAGAGTATCTGAGAGGCTAAATGCCTGCATCTGTCTATATCCTTATATTGTAATTGCCACCATCCTGTATCGATTACGCTCAAAAATCCATTGAGCCTAATGCGATTTCATTAAGATACAGTCCAAGTAAGCTATTCCAAACAAATACAGAAGACAGGAGAGTCAATCTCTAAACTTTTGCTGCAACATCCGGTCATGGAAACCTTTTTGAGGCCAGAAAACATTGAAAATCTTTTAGGCAGCCTGCAGCTATTCCTAATGGTTTTTCAATTATTTGTCTACATATGTTCGATGTGAATTTACAACATCAGGTAATTGTAAAACAGAGCTGGAATTTCCAACAGTAAATAAATATGTAGCATGAGCAGTGTTTCATAAACTGCTTCAGGTTTAAATACATGTTTGAGTTTGTGCAGATTGTTGTTGTTTTTAATAAAAAAAAAAAAAGAAAACACAAAGGTGGGACAGATTTACAATATTGATGATTCTCACAACTTGGTTTTCTGGTTTGTTTTGGACAAGTCAAGTTAATTTTATTCATGCAGCCCAAAATCACAAATTTGTCTCAAAGTGCTTTAAAATCTGACGGAGGTATCCAAATGCAAGTATGCAATCAGATCATAACTGAAAAAAAGTGGATCCGTGCTTCTCTAGCGCAGACAGGGGGCACAATCAAACCAAAAAAATAAAAATAATAATGGAGTAGCTGTCACTGCAGGAGGTAGAAATACCAGCATGTTTACCACCCGAAGAGCAAACCTCTGTGAGCAAAAGTGTGTTTCTTTGCTTCATTTCTGTCTGAGAGAGCGGGTGAGTCATCGAGAGGTCGTGGCACCCTGCCATGATACTTGGTCGTATACAGAACGTTAAGATAACCTCGCTGCTGAAACCCAAAGAAGACATGGGCATCCCACAGAGTTCAAATACTAGAAAGAACAACTATATAGTGTTGCATCATCCCAACAGATTAGATTGGGGGAAAAAATAGTGATGTAACATCCAGATATCAAGGTCAGAAACAGTTCAAAAAAAGTATTGCAAGTACTATAATCCAAAGTAAAATTGTCAATGATAAAGAGAGAAATAGGACAAACTTAAGTGGCAGTAAAAACACACTCTTATCTTAATCATCTTTGATATAATTATCAAAACATCAATTACTTAACTACAGAAATATATATGGTAGTGTAAAAAAAAAAGAACTGACAGAAATACTTTATAGTATAGCATGCACTGAGTCTCACGAACAAGACAAAGTTCAGTTAAACTGCATCTTGGCAACCAACATCCAAAGCACATAAATATCTGCTGACATTGGAAAAAAACGTTGACACACTGATGTCTCTAAAACAATTTAAATTACCCGCAGCATTTTTTTTTCATTTAATACAAAAAAACTCTAAATGGAGGATACAAAGGGAAATCAAGAAGTTTCTCCCCTTCAAAATGGTTTTCTGGTCATCAACAAAAGCCAAAATGATGGTACGTCTGAGTTTTCTTAACAACAAAGCAACATCACAGCATATGTGGAAGAATCAATACAATTCAAGGTGTATTGAGTCATTCTGGGAAAAGATAACAGAATGTTGAGTCTCAGGTTGACAAATTATAATATATATAATATAATATATATATATAATATTTGACGACCTGGGAGCACGAATGCCACCTATTGCGTTGTTCGTTCCTTATTTACCGAAACTCAAAGCCTCAGTATTTGCAACCTGAGAATAAGATCATCTATCTTTCTTCACAGTAGCTGACCCCACCTTCAAAAGAGCATCTGGTTTTTCCACAACAAACAAATATGCCTGTGTCAATTTCAAAACTTCACATCACAGATCATTCTTCTAAGTGGACTGTTTGCCTTCTTCAACAAATAACAACTTTTATCAGCAACACTCCTCCAAAACTTCCACAATTCATAAAGATCCAAACTTTTAATGTTTGATGGCAAGAAAATCGGTTTCCTCAATCCAGCACAGCCACTGCAAATCTGTCAATCACTTAACGTACTCAATATCGTAGACCAAACTGGCCACCTCTAACATCATAATACCTCCAGCTCTATGATCCTTTCCCCTAGTCTCACCTTTATTCCATACCATGTTTTTACTACCACCATGACACTTGAATGTCATTTTACAGCAGCCAAACCATAACGTATGAATTGAAACGATTGAATTGTGGAGAATCTCACTGATGTAACGATGTGTAGCATTTCCATAATGACAATAGTTTCTATTTGTGTAGGCGATCTAAGAAGCTTAAAACTCACTTAAACGGGCAACCCGGTGGGCTTTAAGAGGTTTTATACATCCAGTTAATTTCTATATAATCCAGACCAGGCCTTTAATTGAGACCTGCCTTTATTTGTCAAAACGTGTGGCCGTAACCAGTCTAGAAAAGGAGACCTGCCACTTACCGTACTCAATGTCGTAGAACACAATGAACTTCTGCCAGCGCAGCTCCTCCACCAGAGTCAGCATGACGTCATTGAGGCGGACAGGTGGGCGGGCGGCTAGCGTGTACCGCTGCCCACCAGGGCTCGGGTTTAACTGGCAGGCGGTCCGCGGCGATCCCTCGCTGTTCCTCTGGATGTACAGGTGAGGGATGTGCATGGCGTCTGTCAGGGACTGCAGCGCACTGGCTGATGCACAACCCGTCGAGGTGACCAACGCCAATATGCCCTGGTTCATCAGCTCGCAGGCTGCATGGTGAGGGGAAGGAGGTAGAAGAGAGGTTTGAAGAAAGGAAGGAACAGAGAAAAGCTTAATTTCAGAGAGAAAAATTATTCGTAATAAATGACACAAATTTGTATTAAAACAAAAAAACAGCAACTAATGTCACTGAATACCAAACTATGATTTCAAGAATCTGAACAAACACATGCTGTTTCATAAAAAACATTGAAAGATGTAGACATACTGAACAGGGATAAGTGCCAAAGGCTGCACAGGAGTCTTATAGAAGCCCTGCCCTAATGTTAAATGATGTCTTGACCTCGTATTGCAGTGGACGTTAGGCTGCAATGTCATAAATCTACTAAACAGTCTGACACTTTAAACCATTGTTTATCCCTGACCTGACCTACTTTTGAACTTCTAAACCTAAACTGTCTCTGAGTCTCTGAAAGCAACTACTCAGATGATTAAACAGGCTGCATATCCAGTCTGTTAAAGCTACACTGAAGGTTGAAATTCATCTGACCTGACTAGGTTGACTGGCAGATTCATCTGAATGCCACGGCATGCTGAGTTGCCCAGCTATCATCACTATTTATGGAGAAAAACTGAGTACAAAACCTCTGGAATCAAAGGTTTCCACACATGCAGGTTGGATACAGTAGGCACAATCATGTCACCTCATTCGAAAAAATTTAGATACATTATCTAGTGCAGGTACACAGTGTCCTCTGGGTCAAAAAACAACCATCCTCTTTACCTGTACCCAGCCCCTAAACCCTCCAAAGCAAAAGCTACCGAGCATTGTTTCGGTAATGCCAAGCAGCAACCTCGATGGTTGGCAATTCAGATTAACACAGAAGTGCAAAAAACTGCAGTTCCCTAAAGCAGAAATAAACATTTGTGAGGGAGACTATGTCCATCTTTAATTTTTAAAGTTTAGATGTAACAGGAGTCTGAGATCTACATTCAATACGCCAGCATTGGGACTAACCCAGTGCCTGAATTTAACCACAAAAGATTCCAGTACCAAAATTTAGCACAACCATAATCCTAATTATTTGGGCATTTTGTAATCCATTTTAAAAAGGACATTTTTGGTGCTGTTTTCTCAGCTCTAATCTTCCTCAAAAACCCGACTGCTGCTTCTGATTGGGTCTGACCCAGACTTTTTTTCAACACCCTAACCCTCTTACTGCTTATGTCTAACCCTAACCAACCAAACTTAAAAAGTGCAACAAACACTAGTCAAGGGTGGGTCTTGGCGGAATATGATGGGAAAAACAATCAAGCATTATGTGGGTGTTTAGGGGTGTATACCTGGACTCATCAGGAGGTGGCAATAGGAAATAAAAAGTAAGGGTACTCATGGACGAAAATCAGAAGCACTGGTGAGTACTTAACTAGCCAAAAAAGCAACCTCTACTATCAACTAATGGAAGATTATTTTTCAATGTCTAATAGGGCTGGGTATTGTTAAGAACCTCACAATTCGATTCGATACCGATTTAAATGCTTCGATATCGATTCAGTAATAAGTAGAATTACAGCTTCGGGGTGGCGACTTTGCGTGTTGGTATGGCGTATCGTGTGTGTATGCCGTCTTCTTAAAACCCCCGTTTTCCACGACACTGTACGGTCGTAGGTACTTACATATGAAGACGGCCACAGACTCCGTTATCTTCTGTGCGCGGGCAGAATTTGGAGGCAGTTTGCAAAGGAAGGATTTGTCGAGTTGCGTCTGTTTTGAATCCACAGGTTTAGCCGCGGGTTGCTGCAGAGCATCTGCATGGTGTCGGCTCAAGTGGTTGCGCAAATTTGTTGTGTTATTGCAGTATTTTAGTACTGCCTGGCACAGCTTACACACTACCTTACTTTGGTCTATTTCCTGTGTTCCGGGTTTACACTGGAATCCAAAATGATTCCAAACGTCTGCTTTTAAAGTTGAAGGCGCTGGTTAAACACTGCTGCTGCCTGCTTTGGTTGCCATGTTGTTGTTGTGTGGTCGAGTGCGGCCTCCGTCCGTAGAATGCAAATCACACAAAGGTGTTGCTCACCACGCCCCCACTGGCCAGGGGCTTGAATCGATTCAGAGCATTTAATGAATCGATACTGAATTGGGAAAAAATATATTGCAATGCATTGATGAATCGATATTTTTACCCACCCCTAATGTCTAACAGAAGAGGTAGCGTAAGTCCAAGTGTAACCCTAGCAAACCAACAAACAGGCTACCTCTAACATCATAATACCAATGACTTGAATGTAATTTTACAGCAGCCAAAGATTTACGGCACCCAGCAAAACCATAAAGTATGGATCAAAACGATTTAATTGTGGAGAATCTAACTGATGTAACAATGTGTAGTATGTCCATAATGACAATAGTTTATAAATGTAAATGGGCATCACGGTGGGCTTTAAGAGGTTTTAAATCCAGATAATTTCTATATAATCCAGACCAGGCCTTTAATTGAGACCAGCCTTTATTTGTCAAAACCTGTGGTCATATCAGGCTAGAAAAGGAGACCTGCCTCTATTTGGGACCCTGCTTTCAATTTAAGTTTTATGGTATTTAAAGAGTGACTTCACTCAATAACAAAGACAATTTCCCTACAACCCCCTCAACAGGGCAGACCTTTGCTTTCCATAGTGGTTCTTTGCCCTTCACTATGAACTCAGTATATCTCATATTTTTTCCTCTTATAGGCCATTTCCACACCATCCTCTCCTGGCACTGTAAGCTCCACAAAATATACAAGCCGCCATGTCTCTGAACTCAAGATTTAGTCTCAGATATGCTGGCTCTCTCCCGAGGGACTGTGAACACTTCCCTTAAATCTACTGCCATCCTTGACTTCATCCCCACCTTAAGCTTCCCTACGTAATACCTACTCAAAAATGCTTGGGATCTTGACACTTCACCTCCAGGAACAAAATCCAATCATGTGTCTATCTGTTGAGTGTTCTCACTCAAGCACTTTTCTATGTCTCCAGGTATATTGCCCTTGAAAAAGGCTTGTTTTACACCCTGGCAGAATGAGGAGTGAAGCTTTACCTGAAGGAACGTGTGCTCCTCACTTATCCACTCACTAAGTCTTGGGGGAGATGGAGCAAATCACAGGTTGCATCTAACATGAACGTAATCTTGCCTGCCTCCCTGCCCCAAACTTCACTCCAGTATCTTTTCTTTCTGCACTTACACTGCCACAGCACATCTAGCTTCTTTTCTTGGCCTTTTCTCTTTTTCACTGATGATGACATGCCCAATAAAATCTGCCCAATGCCTAGTCCGACCTCCAAATACTCATGTTGCGCCTGCCCTACAATCCGTGAAAACTGCCTCTAAAACCGGCTCATCTGAGTTGCATTACCTGCTGCAGTTACACTCTGTACTTTCATCCTCAGACAGCAGCAGTGTCATCGCCAACCTCGCCTTTGCACATTTAAACTCCTCTGTTAAAATAGATATGGAGCTCCAGAATCCCTTTTCCGTAAACACACTGCTGAGGCAGCGCAAGCTCCCAGCTAATCATTCTCTCTGGGCTCGCTTCCTTTGAAGCAGGTACATCAAACCCGGGTTAGAAGCCACAAAAGTCAGAGCAGGAGGCCAAACTGCAGACACCACAGTTTAGTTTCCCTGGAAGCCCTGACTTCTGTATGCTTCTAATAAACACATTTGAATGTTTGCAGGATGGCACCCCTTGAGATTCATCATCTTGTTTTCAAAAGACAAAATATAACTCTTTGGATCAGAAAAACCAGTGCATTGGTTAAAATAACCTATGTTTATGTTTTCATGGCATGTGACCTCTTGCTGTCCACTCTTAAAGGACCAGTGTGTAGGATTTAGAGACATCTAGCGGTGAAGTTGCTGATTGTAATGTCCACACCTCACCCTCCCATTCCAAGCCAGTAGGAGAAACTACAGTGGCTACAAAACAATCAACAAAAACACAACAGTTCTTATTATTATGCACTAATGAAAACATACATGTGAATATTATACAGTATACCATTTCTCTCCTCCTACACACTGGCCCATCAACTATGTCCTCTAGAAATGTAATTCTTTAAAAAATGTATCTACCACTAAATGGTTTTGCCTAATACATTCTTGTGGAAAGGTAATTGCTATGTGGATTATTTTATAGTCCACAAACTGCACAACAATTGTGGAGAGGCAGTTTAGGCTGGATGCTGTGCATACAATGCACAAAGCTTTCACACATCCTGCATCCCATGTGAGGTTGGGGTTACGCAACAAAAACATTTAGGTTAAGGTTTGGAAAAGCAGAGTCTTTATTGTCTCAGAGAGAGATTTATTTTCACAACCTGTACATATTTCACACAGACGCAAACAGATATACACAATATATGAGTGCCCTTTAGTGCATAGTTTTTGGGGTAAAAGCACAAAAAAAAACTATCTTGTTTCACTGTTGACTTTTTCAATAGTTGACCAAGGCCACAATCTTTCCTGAACTGTAACTAAGTGCTTGGAGTCTAGACAGAACACTAATCATGCCATAAGTGGATACTGTTGGAAAACAAATATGTTGTGAACAATTTTTCAGATTCATTGATAAAAGTGTTTCTCATTATGTTGATCAAAACCATGACCTGGGCAGCATGAACTTTCACTCACTCTCACACACAATGTAACGGTTAGGAAACAGGGTGAGGTAGTGCCATAGTAAAGGTAGAAGTATCATGACAATGTAATACCCTCACAAAATGTATAAGTAAAACAAAATGTGTTTTTAATCTGTTTCTATATAGTTACTAGAGAGTAATACTACTAGCTATCTGTTGTCTCTGTTTCTGGTTCAACTAAATCAACACAGGAATGCAAGGCACAGCTGTTCTTTTAAATGTTACAGTGAAGGTTTCCTTCAGAGAACCTGTCGTCTGCTTTCAGACTAGCTTTTCTTCACAACACCTCCTAACATTTGCAAAGCCACATGGAGATCCTTTCCCCCTCCTGTGTTCACCTCAGACAGGCAGCCAGTTACAGTTTCAGTCT